TTTGAACACACTTATTCCATCACTCTTGCCACTTTCTGAGGCAGTTGTGGAAGTCCTTTTTCATGAATGTCTTTAGTTGCACTGTCCTGGCTGCCTCGATGTCCTGAAGCAATTCAAAACGTTTACCGTTCATGGTCATTTTGACTTCACGGAAGAGCCAGAAGTCGTGTGGTGCCAGACCCAGTGAATAACATGGAAGAGGACATAACGTAACGTTTTTATTTTACAGAAACTGCCATACCAGAAGTGATGTGTGACATGGAGCCTTTCCATAGTGATCACAAAATACGGTGAATGCTGCTGCCAAGTGCCATCCAACAGAAAGGCAGGGATCTTCAATATGGGAAGTGGCGTATCTTACCTTAGTAACAGAGTGTGGCAAGTTTCATCTTGTTCGTTGCAGTCAGTCAGGTATGAGCTATGGTTGAGAGAAGGTGTGTGTTTTATTTTATTTTATTTTTTTAAGATTTTATTGAGGAATTGAGGGAGGGGAACAGCGTTGGGGAATCAGGGAAGGGGAACAGACAAGTTGCTGTCCTTTTGTTCTTCAGTCTAGTTGCGGAGGACGTCGCTTCACTGGTCCATGTTGGTATTATCATTGCGCTATTCCGGGGTGAGGCAGTCGCTCGCTGGCCATTGGATGGCCACTCACAGCGGCTCACAGCAGCTCACAAAAGCTCACGCCCGCTGCCAGCCAGCCCCACTGCAGCCTACACCGTCACGGGCGACTTATGGCAACCCAGCTCCAGGTCAAGCTGTTTTTCACCACCTTAGCTGTAGAGGGCGCAGCGTCACTGGCCCTCATGCGGGATCCAAACCAGGGTCCTGCTGCTCAGAGCTAACATCCCAAGCCAACTCCTAACCAACGCGCCACTCCGCCAGCCCAAGGTGTGTGTTTTAAAGTGTGCCGTGAATCATCCTCCATCATGACAATGGTCTGTGCCACACATGGTTTCTAGTACAGCAATTTCTGTCAAAAACATTAAGGTGTGTCCTCTTCCACCTTACTCACTGGATCTGGCATAATATGACTTCTGGCTCTTTCCCAAAATCAAAATAATTCAGGACATCGAGGCAGCCATTACAGCGCAACTAAAGACACTCACGAAAGATGACTTCCAGAACTGCTTCAGAAAATGGCAAGAACGATGGGATAAGTATGTTCGAAGCATGGTGGAGTAGCTTGAGGGGGATTAATCGCAATTTATCTTTTACTGTAATAAATTTTTTGTATTTAAACATTCACTGTATTGTTTGGTCACACCTTGTATAAAGGACTCTTACAGCTCAACAACAGAAAGATAAACAATACCATTTTTAAATGGGCAGTACAGCTAAATAGACATATCTCCAAAGAAGATATACAAATGACCAAAAAGCACATGAAAAGACACTCAATATCATTAGGAAATTCATATCAAAACCACAAGATACTGTTTCACATCCAGTAGGACATCTATGGAAGGAAGAAAGAGAAGGAAGCAGGGAAAATAGGTATTGGTAAGGATGTAGAAAAATTGGAAACAGCATGCATTGCCAATGGGAATGTAAAGCGGTAGAGCTGTTTTGGAAAACAGTTAAGCAGTTTAATTCCAATCCCAAAAGAAATGAAAACATAGGTCCACACAAAAACTTGAACAGGAATGTTTATGGCAATATTACTCACAATAGCCAAAAAGTACAAACAACCCAAATGTCCATTAACTAGTGAATAGAAAAACAAATACCCATACAATGGAATATTAGTCGGCAATAAAAAGAAACAAAGTTCCAATACATGCCACAACATAGATAAACCTCAAAAACATTATGCTCAGTGAAAGAAGCCAGATACAAAACAGCATATGTTGTATGATTTCACTCATAAGAAATGTCCAAAAAACTCAAATCTATAGAGACAGAAAATGGATTAGTTGGTTGCCTTGGGCTACAGGTGAGACCACATACAGTTTTGAGGGGAGGAGAGAGGAGGGTGGAAATGTTCAAAACTTAGATTGTGGTGATGGTTGTGCAACTCTGTAAATGTACTAAAATTATAGACTTAAAATGGGTAAATTTTAAAGTATGTAAATTACATGGCAATAAAACTTAATTTTTTTAAAAAGACACTGAAAGTTACTGTGATCTTCAAAAATGAGATCAAACACAGTAGATAGGATTAGAGGTTCTAAAGTAATGCAAATAAAAGGGTTTTTTCCCCCTCTCCAGATATATATTTTTTTGCTTTTACTTCCCTGTACATAGTAGCAATTTATGAAATGTTTCAGATAGTCTAGAACTCATTAATATATGTGATTAAAACAAAAAATTATACCTACTAATATTAAAGTAGGTTTTCCAGAGCTATACTAACAATATTCCTCCACATTATAATGAATGAGAAGAACTAAATTTCCTCATCTGTGAAATAAGGCCAATACTATTTATATCTCACAGGCTTGTAAAAATTAAGTGAGATAATTCAGGTTTAACCTACTGCCTGTCATATAAGCACTCGATAGATGTTAGCTGACATAAGTACAGAGGGTATTCAGATCCAGCCTGATAATATTAGTCATGTATTCTATTATCGATATTCCAAAAGGAATAATTAGTGGGGTAGGAAGAATAGTGACTTGATAAGAATGTTATGTTACCAGAGAACTAAGTCCATAAGTACAAATTCTATAAGCTCATTGGTAGTGATAATGAGATTAACAGAGGAGGTAAAAACTCCAGGAGAATAATTAAGCAAGCCAAACTGGCTCTTGTCTAAAAATACTCAGTCCACCAAGGAGAATTTTACAAAAATATGAACACATGCCCCTTGTACAATTAAACAAATACATGACAATTTCCCATCCCCATTGATTTTTTTGAACAGTCACTTCCTAACTCTGCCTATTAATTTAACTCTCATCACCAAATTTCATCCAAGCAACTCATCATGTTCTATCCCACCTCTGTTTCCAGACATTCTAACCATCCCAAACATTTCACCCACCTGAAACTAGCAAGTAGAAGATTTAGAAAATCGTTAAGAATCAAAAGCTCCAGAACCTTCAGTATACATAGAGAAAAACCAGTTTAAAATACAGAGAAGTACCTTTCCTAAGCTTATGCCACTAGGATTTGGTCGGGTCCTCTCAACCATATATTAAAGACTATTCAAAAAAAATTCTACTTTTAAATTATGCAAGCACATTTCCCCACAAATACAATGCAGAAGCATCTTATTAATATTTTAACTTTGTGAATTTGAACTAATGCAATATAGCTATTAATAATAAAGTATTACTCCAGGCACAAATTTTGAAATAATACAAAGCCCTCCAAATTTAAAAAATATGTCAAAAATCACTTAGTATTATTCCAAATCTGGCTAGCTGAGTAAACTATAAAACTGCTTACACTATTGCCTAGTGGTTGCATTACTTTGACCAATAAAAACAATCATCCACCTTCCTTTGTCAGGACCATGTTAACGACACTGTTCTTTCTGTGTTTTAAAACCATGATAATTTCGATCACTGCTGTGCTTTTATTTCAATATCCACTACTACTAAATTTAAAAATCATTTTTTATCCTCTAGCAATGACGTTAAGAGGACATCATAGTGCTAATACAGATAACATGCCTGAAAATCAGTACCTTAGGAACAGAAATCAGATGTGGTAAACTCTATAAGGAAAGCCAAACAATTGCCACTTTATGCTGGGCTGATAATTTAGAAAATAACAAACTGGAAAATACTAGATATCAGAGATAATGCCAGGAAATTAAAAGGTAATATTAAAGAAATAATCACAGATTGATATGCTCAAAGAACCTGTTCCCACCACTTTACAAGAACTCTTATGGGAAAATGAGACTTAAATGATATAAATTTTGAAGTATGCAAGGTTTTTAGGATATTTCTCCCATAAAATAAAAATCTTACATATGCAAACCCTCAGAAAAATGTATACTTTTTTAATTAAAAAATATGATTCCTCTACTTTTACCACTCCATCTCTCAGATCAAATATAACTTTTGATATGATCATAATAATCTTTGGAGAAATGAAGTCTGTACATGGTTATTTGAGGCTTAAAGCAAAATCACTGCATCTACAGAACTGCCCTATTCACCGTTACAATTTATTCCTTGTATGGTAGAGAGTCAGGAGATATATAAACTTCTATGGAGTCACAGATATGCTTTTATACTTCCTACAGATGACTAGAGAAGACTACGGTATTTTGCAGTGTATAATGCGCTCCCGTGTATAATGTGCACCCAAGTTTTTGGCCCAAACATTCAGGGGAAAAAAATCTTTTGTTTTAATTTTTTAGTACCCATGTACAATGCACATCCTTATTTTTCCCTAATAAATTTAGGCTAAATAGTGTACATTATACACAGCAAAATATGGTAAGTAGCTAGCTTATAGAGTACTCTAACATAAGTTCAAGAACTAGTCTTCTATTTTGTGTGATCTCCCAACAATGAGAAAGTTTACTTTGGTGTTCTCATTTTTTATTCATTTACTATTCTAAAAGAAAATTCAAAATTCAATACCCTTTTGTAAAATAACAACTTTCTAATCATTTATTGATGCTCAATCCCAAAATGCTCTAACTTCCTCCTGATAACTGCAATCTGAATCCCCAAAATATTTAATTCCAATATATCCATAACACATTAATACTATGACTATAGGACCACAGTTGCTAAATGGAGCATCTTTTTGACGGCAGGTCACAAATGATAAATCAAGCATTATAATTAGTCTATATATAACTCTTGCATTATCAGCTAAATTTATCAGGATGTTCCAAACTCACAAATACAAGGAGTTAAGATGACAGAATCACAGACAGTCAGAGCTTGGAAGGAAGCTTAGAGGCCACTGAAGTTAATCCTTATATTTTGAAAGTTGTGGTAATTGAGACCCAAAGACAATAAACGAATCACCCATGGTCACACTATTTACACATAGTATGAGCCCATCCTACATCACATACACATGTATCTTACCTTTCTGGTGATGTCTTAGAAGTGACAGGATGACCACGAACACCTTTTTTACTTTTATGGTCTAGAGAAAGGACCTTGTTTCTTAGGCTTCTTTCCCACTAGGAAAAAAAAATTGAATTTTAATAATAATTATAGCAATATGACAATAAAGATGCACTTAAATTTTCATTTTATTTAGAAATTCAAAACAAACAGCCAAATTCATAATAGTTCACGGGGGGGAATGCAATCTATGAAACACCTGGCTCTTTTGCTAGGGCAGAAATGTAAGTCCAACAAAAACAGCAGGAATAGATTTTTAAATTTCAAGGCAACTTTTGCCAAGTAATCAGTTTTTTGAGGTTCTAAAGCTTACGTAACTATAAAAATTTTTGACTGTGTCTAAAGGAAATAATAAAATTATTACATGCCAAGTTACATAATGCCTGTGATTCTTAATTAACTGTATTCATAACAACTGGAAGGGATTTCTATTGGTTCCCCATGAATTGCTGCATGGAAAATTTTAGGAATCAGGCATCTTACTAACAGTTTAGATTTAATCGGACTAGTAACAAAAGTTGAAATTAATTTATTTAATACACAAACAGTGTGACTCTAGACAAATAAATTATTTATCTTATTTCTATGCATCAGTCTCCTTATATGAAAATGGATGTAATAATAGTAGCTATATCACAAGGATGTATGATGATTACATACGTAGTAAGTTTAAAACACTTTCTTCCTTGAAGAGCTATTTGTACACCCATGGTCACAGCAGCATTGTTCACAAAAGCTAAAGAGTGAGGCAATTCACGTGTCCCATCAACAAATGAATCGATAAATGGATATAACGAAATGTTATCCAGCCTTAAAAAGGAAGAAAATTCTGGGCCGGCTAGTGGCTCAGTTGGTTAGAGCTCGCTTAAGAGTTTGAGCTCTGAGCAACAGCAGTTCGAGTCCGGCCGGAGCTGAGCAGCCGGAGCTGCCAACAGGTGGCAAGATGGCTGAGCTAAAAAAAAAAAAAAAAATATATATATATATATATATATATATATATACAAAACATGGATGAACCTTGATGACTGTTAAACAATAGGGGGAACAAATTATATACTATATATAGATAGATAGATCTATCTATATCTATCTATATCTATAGATAGATCTATCTATCTATATCTGCCTTCAGTTCCTGGCACAGAGCTTCTAAAACCCTTGTAATTGCCTAAGTGATAAGAGTACTACATAGTACACGTCAGCAACAGCATAACATTTTTTTCTGAATATTTTCCATTTGCAGTTGTTTGAATCTATGGATGTGGAACCCATAGATATTGGGGGGGGGAGGGCACAACTCTATATAATATATATGATTTTTACTCCACAAGAAATTCAATATTCAAATATAAAGTAAAATATATAAATGCAGACATTTTCTTAAAATAGTATCTTTTTTTCTTCCTATTAAATTGGCAACAATTTTACTGTGTGATAACACCCAGTGCTAGTAAGTTTGTACAAAAATGGAAGAGCTCATCAATGGCAATACAATTTGGTGCAAATTTTCTGTGAGACAAATTTGCAATATTTATTGAAACTTAATATACAAACTCCCTTAAACCCAGTAGACCTGCTCAAAAATGGTTCCCTATTATATGAAAAATGATGTTCATTGCAACATTGTTTCTATTACAAAACTCTGGAAACAACCAAACTAATATGAGTGCACTAAGTAAATAAATTATAGTATACAGTATATCTTTGGAGTACTACAAAACGATCAAAAATTAAAGAGGCAGATCTAAATGTGTTAAAGCAAAAAAAGTTAAGGTATATTATTAACTTAGAACAGCAAAGCACAGAACAATATGTTATTTCATGATCCCTTTTGTGCAACAATCAAAAAAATAATATAAACTCACATGTGGGCATATACATTTGTTTTTTTCTTGAAAGGAATGAAAAAAAAAAAACTGTTAGTAGTGGTTGCCTTTAGGAAAAGGCAGGGGAAGGGTTCTTTATTTGCTTCACCTTGTCCCTTTCTATACAGCCCAAATTTTCTAAACTTATATAAACGTTTTTATTTTTATGTCAACGGAAGTCATCAGGTCCCATTTATTATTTCCCTTTTTTGTGCCTTTTATAAAAACAAACAATGAATTATTTAATAATTAAATTTTTAAATAATGTTAAAGCAACTAATACTGATGACAAATCTTTCCTCTGAGAACAAGTTATAAAAAACGGTTAATTCTTCTTGTCTGTAACATAAAAACACATATATTCAAAGTGACTTAAAATTTGTTATCTTAAAATGCTAATATTAATTTGCCCCCTCCCCCCACCAAATTCCTATGTTGATGTCCTCCAAACCATCAATATGACTGTATGTAGAGATAGTGCCTCTACAGAAGTAATTAAGGTTAAATGAGGTCATAAGGGCAGAGCCCTAATCTAGCAGGACCTGTGTCCTTCTAAGAATAGAAAGAAACAGCAAAAATGGGGGCGGGGGTGGGGGGGGTGATCATATGAGGACACATCAAGAAGACAACCATCTATAAGCCAGAGAGAGGCCTTAGAGAAACTAACCCTGTTGACACCTTGATCTTAGACTTCCAGCTTCCCAAATTGTGAGAAAATAAATTTTTAAGCCACCCAGTCAGTGGTATTTTATTATGTTGGCCCTAGTAGACTAATATAACATTAAATAGGTAAGCTGAAAAATCTGAGAAAAATTGTATTTTAAAAAACTGACCATGAGTTCTGCAAAGCAAGAGAAAAAATATTTAAAAAGCATATATTAAGCTTTATTCATGAGATCTCTATAATAATGCTTAATAGTGATAAAATTAAAATCCAGATTCATAATCAGAATATCTTCTGAAAAATAGTTGTCTTATGTTATGTTACCCTTTAACATATACCTCTCAAATTTACAAAACAAAGGACAAATGATTCTAATAAACTTAATAGTCTCATAAATTTAAATAATTCATTTAATAATAATGAGATTTAAATTTCATAAAGAAAACAACAATACATAAGGAAAGTACACTTAGATTTAAACTGAAGAAGACCCTAACTTCATAGAATCAGTTCAACATATGCCAGAAATAAACTAATTTAAACCTGCAAATTAATAACACAAAGAAATCCACAAAATATATAAGAAAATAAAAATTCAGCTTTACTAAAATACTTTAAACACACTAAATAATACTATATACTTAAAATAAATTGGTTTTTATTTACCCCCTGCAAAGGGAGATCCCACCGTTCTGAGCTGAGTTTGGACAGCGGTGATTTAACACAAATGTCCTGTGGTTTTGCATTAAACATCTTTGTTATCTGAAACCAGAATGAGAAAATAATCAGTTTAATTAAAATATAAATAAGAGCTAAACCAGATAACAGAACCATTATATTATCCTGCATTAATATTTTGCTATTAGCTTTAAAAAGCTTCAAATTCAGTTTATAATTTATAGGTAAACTTAATTTTATTTAAAAAGAAACCTCTCATTCAGTATAAAGGTAGATAAATGAAGTATCACAATAGTTTCACAACTATTCTCTTACCTACAGTCTCTTCCCCTTCTAATCTTTCAAACGCTATACCAAGTTCTCTAATATAAAATTCTAATTATGGCTACAATACTTAAAATACAACAATGGCACCCATTACTTATAAATAAATCTCTTAATTTAAGCTCTTTCACATCATTCACATACCACAAACTTTACCCCAACCATATTGAGTTTACTCAGTGTTCTTCAAACATGTCATATAATTTTATATCTCTAGACCTTTGTATATACTGCGCCCTCAATCTAGAATGCCCTCTTTACTTTTCCCATATGAAATATTTCAGATTCTGCCAAAAATTTTCTTATCCACACAACCATCACTCCCACACCAAGGCATTCCTTTCTCTGGGGATGTACTTGGTACATTATCTATATTACACATATAATTATTTGTCTACATGTCTATCTTCTCCAGACTGTGGAGGTCCTTAAAAAGAGAAACCCGACTTAATCACTTTTATATCTCCAATATGTATGGCTCATGATATGCTGAATAAACAAATGAATGAATATCCATCAGAGCCACAAGTTTGAAATCATTTGTTTAGAACTTAAATACCTTAACTTTCATATTAAGAGAAAGTTATAATGGTTAAGCATCAAGTGCAGCCTACAAAATATAACATATAATAAGCACTATACTGTATCAACTATAGCCAGTAACAATCCATAAAATGATTTCAATGAGAGTAAAACGTGAGTCAGAATGATAAAATAAATGTGAAGAAAGTGTATCTCAACTCTTATTTCACTAGCACCTCTGAGTTAATCCTCCTGGGTTCCAGTAACGTATTAATTATTTATATATATTCTATTTAAAAAGGTATCTTTATAATTCTTCATCTGCAAAAGAATGTTATCGCTAAGGCAATCATTTCCTTCATATTCTTAATTAAGGAACAACAGTTGCTTTTCCAGGGGGTAAGGCAAGAGCTTCAGGCTGTTCACACCCATGAAGCCTTTGTGAGTAGGTTATTTAGCCTACGTTGCTATGGCATACTGTATTTGTCAAAAATGGGCACGACAATAATCCACATTCCAAATGCTCTTTTTACAAAGGAACACTGGGCCGGCCGAGTGGCTCAGTTGGTTAAGAGCATGAGCTCTGAGCAACAGGGTTGCTGGTTCGATTCCCACATGGCCCAGTGAGCGAGCTGATCTGCCGCTGAGCTGCCAACAGGTTGTACAGGATGGCTCAACTGGTGACAGCACGTGCTCCTAACAACAAGGTTGCCAATTCAACTCCCGCATGGGATGGTGGGCTACGCCCACCTGCAATTAAGATTGAACACGGCACCTTGAGCTGAGTGGCTGCGAGCTGCCGACGGGTGGCCAGATGGCGACTGGACTTGGAGCTCAGCTAGCTGTGCCCTCCACAACTAAGACTGAAGGACAACAACTTGGCTGTTCTCCTTCCCCAATGCCCCAATAAAATATTAAAAAAAAAAAATTAACACTGACAGTGCTCCAACATCAGGTGTGGCCTATGCTCCTTCCCCCTTGAATCTGGGCAATGCTATGACTTCCAAAACTAGATCAATAAAATGCAATACAGCTTCTGCCTAGCTCTCACATGCTTGTGTCTTCTCCCTTCCTTCCTCTTTTTCTTCCCTCTCTGTCTCTCTGTACTGTGGAGGAGAGGCTGTTCCATGACATGACCACTGTCTGACTGGAGAGCTGGACTGGGCCAGAAGGGAGATTGCTTATCCCCAACCTCACCTTAGACTGTCCAATGTAATCAATGTTCATTCTTAAATAAATCAGCACCCTTCCCCTGCCTCTGGCTACGTGGTGGTTCCTGGAATAAGCTGTTGTCCTGACCTGGTCAAGCATGCAAAGTAACTTCCCATACCTAGTAGCATTCACATACTAGTACCCATGACTACTGCCCCCTTTTACCTTATATAATTCTTTGTCACCTGTCAAATGACTTGGGAAATCCACTTAATCTTGCAGCCACCCAAGACATGCCTCACATTTAGGTTTACCTTAATAGCCTGTTGATTGCCAGACTGGAGTGGCCAACCTCTTTCTTCAGTCTTTCCCTGTCCTCTTACAGAGGTATCAGATATTCATTCTCTGGACTTTTCTGTGGGTCCGCATGTACTAACAGATACATACACTTTGGGAGCCCTGAGCCAACAAGTAAAGCAATTTTGGAAACCCTGAAGCCACTATGGTAGAAAGATCGCACGGAAAGGCTAAAAAGAAGAACTTGCACCAATATATTTGAGTCTTCCCAGCACAGGTATCAAGGTGAGTGAGTGAGCTTTTTTTTTTTTTTTTTTTTTAAGATTTTTATTGGGGAATTGGGGGAGGGGAACAGTGCTGGGGAATCGGGGGAAGGGGAACAGACAAATTGCTGTCCTTTTGCTCTTCAGTCTAGTTGTGGAGGACGTTGCTTCACTGGCCCAAGTTGGCATCATCACTGCGCTCTTCCCCGGCGAGGCAGATCAGTCGCCAGCTTCTGGATGGCTGCTCACAGCGGCTGCTGGCTATACACGGTAGCCCATGGCTACCCACTGCAGCAGGGGCTACAGCCTATGCCGTCACCAGCGACTCACCGCAGCCCAGCTCCAGGTTGAGCTGTTGTTCAGTATCTTAGCTGTAGAGAACAGCATCACTGGCCCTCATATGTGGGATCTGAACCGGGGCCCTCTGGAATACCAAGCCAGCTCGCCACTCGGCAGGCCAAGTAAGTGGGCTTTTAAGGTGATTCCAGGCCCCAGCCTCCAAGACAACCTAGCTAACTCCAGGAAGAACAAAAAAAGCTATCTACAAGTGAACCCTGCACAGACTGCAGATTTATGAGCAAAATAAGTTTAAACCACTAAATTTGGGGGTAATCTGATATATGATCCTAGTTTTAACCTAAAAAGGTGTCCAGCTCAAACTTGTAGGACAACAACTGAGATTTAGCAAAAGTAAGAGTTGGGTATAGGTGCTGAGTATTTTGTAAAATGAGTATCTTATAAAAGAAAACTGATGGCCTCTATGGGAGATCTTATGTTCTTTTTTCACATTAGTTTTTATCTTTTTACCTATGAGTGGCTTAGACTCAATGTCAATTAATTATTTACCTTAACAAATATTCATGTATACTTCCATTAATACGGATACAAAATATAATCTACTGTTTTCAAAAAGCGCACCTCTCTATTTTCCCCAAAGTATAGACTCATGATATCTGGACAGTTATTAAAACTCTAAACTAGTATAAAAACCTTGAAAATGTTGATGTACTCTTACTTAGCAATTCTACTTTTAGGAATTTAAACTATGGAAATAAAATTAAAGTACGTATATACAGATATTTATGAACAGGCATATAGACTAGGTGTTAATTTATACAAAAACTAGAAACAATGATAATAAAAAAAAATTATGGTAAGGCCAAACAATGAGATATTATATAGTTGTTACTAAATAAATGTTCCAGAATAATTAACATAAAAAATTATTTCCAGTGCTCGCTTCGGCAGCACATATACTAAAAAAAAAATTGGAACGATACAGAGAAGATTAGCATGGCCCCTGCGCAAGGATGACACGCAAATTCGTGAAGCGTTCCATAAAAAAAAAAAAAAAAAATTATTTCCAATATAAAAAGTAAAAAAGCATATATACATAATGATCTTTTACAATGCAAAAAAATCCATGTATAGAAAAAATATAGGATATACACAAAATTGTTTAACAGTGATTAATTATCTCTGAATGGTGAGATAAGAGATTTTTAGTTTCATATTTGTGTTCTATAGTTTCCAAATATTTTATTTTTTTAATAGGAATACCATGCAATTATTAAAGGCAAGGAAAAATAACATTTATATCTCCAAAAATGTCTGTGTCAGCTTCCTGGTCAATAAATTATAGATATAAATGTCTCACTCTGATACAGTATATGAGTGGCAAGCAGATTTCAAGTACCACTAACTACTCTACTGTCAATTTTTTCTACACTTTTTTCTTAATGATTAACTGATCAAAAATAATGTAAGCCTTTTTGCCACAATCTGCTCTCTTCTTAGACAAATTTTAATCATGGTTTCAAATGTGTACAATCACTAAAGATTCTAAGCTAGTAATGATTTTACAAAGCCTATATTACAATTCCATTACAAGAATCAGAATGGATTCCTAATACTATAACTTTTTTAATAGTCTCCTAATACTTTAAAGATTGAAATTTAGTCTTTTAAGGAAAAAAATGGGTTCTAAATCCCTTTCCCTTCAAGTTATACTTAAATACATTGATAGAACTCTAATAACTTCCAAAAAATAAAGCTCAAGAACATTTATTTACTAATGTTCAGATATAATACTAAACAACCCATTTAGCAAATCAATTCGTGCAGTTATGTTGAGGTACATTTTAAACCTAATTCATTATAGTATGCCCTCAAAAAGAGAATGTATGAAAAGCAGATAATCCAGGAAAGAAATATATGCTAGCTTCTATTGACGAGTTATACATAGCTGACATATATTCTTTAAACTGTTCAGACTGAAATGCTCATTGCCATGTTCTTAATACAGAATTTCAGAATCTTAATCACTTACTTGTTCAGATACTACATAGATATAAAGTTGTTATTTAACGGAAATTGGGTATGTGCCCATAGATATGGCTATGATTTACCAACGAAGAATAAAAGTCTTGTTTTTCAGTTTTCAAAATAGATTATCAACCTCCCCATGTCTAAATCCAAAGACTATGGGTCTTCGCATTAGCAGAATTAAAAGTATTCACACTCTTA